CACCTAAGCTGTATCATCAGCGTCAAGCCTCTGCACGCAGAACTCTAGCCACATGGTCAATTGTTTCCAGCTATCAAACTGAGAGCTTCAAGTCCTTAGAAGGAATGCTAATAACAGACCAGTTTTGAATCATCCTGATCCACAACTGATTTACTGAATGGAATCTGGACACAGCAACACATTCCATACCTTCTACTAAAGGGCATTCAGTAACAGTCCAGTATTTCACAACTGCATACATTCATCAGCAGTTCACAGCACAGCTTTCAAACAAAAACACTTTTTGACTTTCAGCAATTTACGTAATAAATTTGTGCACTCATTTTCACTATGAAAAAAACAATCCAGAATTGCTTTAAATGTCAACAAACAGCCCCAAAACAGTCAAACATGTGATATAGGGCCTTTCACATTAGAAGGACGTCTCAAAGCGCTTCATAGGATTCCCTGTAAGATATAATGGTGTAATGACTGTGTATTTTGAAGGTGAATGATTAGGTTAGGCCTAAGGAATTAATGTAGACACAGTGAGAAATGGAAGCTCCCTACTGATTCAGTCTAGCTGCCAGAGTTTGGTAGGCTTACAGACAATATTGCCCTCTACGCTGAACAGAAAAAGGAATGTACAGAGTACAGTAAACACACATTTTATCTGGGATGGTGACTTTATTCATAAAGAGAAAGGAGTTGCTCGCAGTGTCCTGGCCAATAATCCTCAGATAAATTGATAATTCACTTTTATGCTGTTTGTGGAACCTTGACTTACATGTTTGCTTACAAATACACAAATACAAAAAAAACCTGTCAGCAATTGAAGATAAAGTCCTTCTGAGACTTTTCAACATTATAGGCACTTTATTGAATACAAGAATTATTATTACTATGTCTTGGTGCTGTGGAATGGAATGAAATACTGGAATTGTATCATTTCACACAGTTATGAACCAATGATTTGTAATACCTATTATTTTTGTCTTGGTGTACTGAAGGCGTTTGGGGTCTCTCACACTTAATAAATGAGCGTAAGATGCAATTATAGCAGAGAATTCACACAATACATAGCTACCTAGTTGTAGAACTGCACCATGGATTTCCACTACAGAGCTCTATTCTTCCCCTTGCCTCGCCCCACCAAACATAATAAATCTGAAGCTAGATATCTCTAAGACAATCTACTTAAAGATGTGCAACAACAACAACAAAATTACATTTATAGAGCGCCTTTCACATCGGGAGTACGTCCCAAGGCGCTGGACACTCAGGGGTCAGGACCCGAGCATAGGGGAGGGGTGTGGAAGGGGTGAGGGAAGGCAGAGAGGTGGGATGGCGACTAAAGGCACAATCGAAGAGGAGGGTCTTGAGACCGGCCTTGAAGGAGGCAAGGGAGGAAGTGAGGGAACGCTGCACGAGACAGTGCGGGGGCTGGAGGAGAAGGCGTTTGCAGAGACAAAGTGGAGGCGGTGTGAAAGGTAGGACCTGAACCGGTCAAGGACAGAATCTTGAAGGTTGAGGTGGGAGGAGAGGCGGTGGAGGAGGATTGGGTGATCCACAGTATCAAAGGCGGCGGAGAGGTCGAGGAGGACGAGGAGGCAGAGGGAGCCCTGGTCGCACATGGTCAGGATGTCGTTTGTGACCTTGACCAGAGCAGTTTCCGTGCTGTGGGCAGCATGGAAACCCGATTGGGGGAGCTCATGGAGGGAGTGGGAGGAGAGGAAAGAGTGAAGCTGGGAGGTGACAGGACTTTTGGACTAGTTCAAGCAGGCTTTGAACTAGAACCAGTGTATTGGGACTGCCAGAAGGGTCTTGCTAAAAGAACATGAAAGTAATTTGCTTTCCCAGTTCCCCCATCACTTTTAGTTATGACTAGCCTGGCACCAGAGACGGTTCGAAAACATTAACAAAAATAACTTCTTTATCCGAGATTTCCAGAGTGTTGAGATTTGAGGCTGTGATATATACAATACCACCATTCCTATGAGCCATTCAATCTCTCCCTTTTGTTTCTAAACCTGTCATTCCTAAAGACGTCAAAGCACAGCTTTGTTTCAGCCTTCCCTTAAAAAGAATACCTCAGACCCAGAGTTATCCCACCTCCAGTGCGGAGACACATTATCTCACTGGACACAAAGAAAAACAACAGACCTAATGTGTGGATCAAAGGCGATAGCATCTCAGGTCTAATCTCACCTCAGCCGATGTAGACAGAAGCAGGACAGGTGAGGGCATGGTTGAGCAATTCATCTGGAGTTAACAACAAGCTTGTAATTCCTGCCCCAGCTTGTACCTGGTAGCAAGGGGTGCGTCAGATTTTGCAATCCTGCTGCCCACAACAACCAAGGTGGAGCTTTGCAGCAAACTCACAAAACAAGGATATAAAACCGTAGGCACACCTCACGTATTTGTACAGTGATGCTTTGGGCTCGGTACTGATTCACAAGATCTTAAGAGCTCATCGGAAGAAAATAACACAACAACTGACATTCCATTAATAAGGCAATTAGTGAAGGCACTTCTCCTGCCTGAAATGGAGCCAGTGCACATCAGGGAGGTCCCCAGTTGAATCTTTAATGTGCCAGGTTAACTTGGCTTGGGTAGTAGTTGGGGCGTGCTGTGATCAGTATCAGCACCCCGGTACTTAAACATAGCCCACCGATGCCTCTGATCATCAGCAGTGTCTCCCATTGGAAAGTGCATCTTTTGGGCATGTCAGATTGAGACAGGGTCAGGTTTGACTGTTATAATCCTATTGTGACACATCCTGTTGGGAACTTGCTGCCTGGATTCACTCTCAAGTTCTGGCCACTTGTGAAAGGTACACAAGGCAGCCAGGGACTGTAGCACGGGACCACAGCAGAGTTTGAATAAGAGGGGAAAAAATAAGCTACGCTTTAATCACAAAATGTACTTTGGAGAAACAGTATCCATCCCCAAACTCTAGGTTTTGTTTAGTCTTTAATATATACCATCGAATGTTGACTTTGTAACAGCACAATGCTGACACATCACATGAATTAAACGCTCCACGGTGTACCAATTTATATAATAATAATCCTTGCATTTGATATAGTGTCTTACCGTGTTGTCAAAATGTCTCAAAGCACCTCATCTATGTAGATTGACTGTAATGTGTAGTGACTGTGTATGTTTAGAGGAAAGCGACAGCCAATTTGCACACAGCATTGTTCCACAAACAACCGTGAAGTGAATCAACCATTTTATCTGAACGACTGTTGGCCAGGATACTGCCTTCTCTTATCAAATAGTGCCACGGGATCCTTAGTGTCCACCTGGACCTCGATTTAACACATCATCTGAAGGACAGCACTTACGAAAACACAGCATTCCCCCCAGCGTGGCACTGGAGTGTCAGTCAGCCTATGAGCTCAAAGTTCTGATGTGGAGCTTGAACTCAAAGCCATTCATTAAAAAGCAATTTAATGTGTCCAGGGTGATGAATTAACTTGATTGAAAGTTCAGAATTCCCAAAACAGCCAAAAAAAAACTACCAACGGGACTTTACAATAGTTTGGCTAACAGGAGTGGAAGTGTTGAGTGTTGTTTTGGTTAGGTAATTATTTTGCCTCCTTATCTCTTATAAAATGCTACCCACATCTGACAAAAACTTTACATAAAGTTGTTTACACCACTTTAGCTTGACTGAAACTTTATAAGTTCTTTATATGTAATCAAGCTGGGTTTTGTTTAATTTATAACGTTTCTGCATGTTAGGAGCCCTAACAAGAATAAAGCGGGTTGGCACACAGCACAGTGCGCAGGAGCTTAAATTACACCCATTCTTTGCTGCTCACCTTGACTGCAGTCTGACATCTGCCTTTTGTGATTCATCAGCCAGGATGAAATGTAATTTAATTGCCCTCCGGGCACAAAACTCGCACCATCACCAGAGCAGTATGCAAGGCAACCTCCACCACACACCCCTGCGGTTAGCTGTGAGTGCCTTCCTAGGTTGCCAACACCCTCGTTCTTTTTGATATCTAGGCAAACAGCTTCCAGCAGGGCTTTTCACAACTGCTTCACACCCTGGCGAAAGCTCAACTGGAATATGAAACACCTTCATTGTTGTGCTCTTTACCTGTACAACGACTATATTTTGTAAACCAAATTCGGAGACGCATATAAAATAAATAAACTGATCGCAGTTCCCGATGCAGGTAGCACTAGACAAGCTTGTTGGATTAACGCCTGTATTTCTCTGATGAGTGTATCTGTTTTAGAATTATATTGTTCTTGCTCAGTTTGTTGCTGAACTCAAGGCAGGGCAAATTTGGTCCCAGGGACACAATATCTCATCCAGGGACTGTCCCCGGAAATCAGGTCACCCTTTTTTATGGGCTGAAGCATTCTCGCAGCAAGTAATCTGATTCCCTGTGAAATCCACTCTATACAATAAATTTAGTTCTGCAATAGACTTAAAAAAATGACTTTGACTCCCAAAATAGAACATCTCATGTAACTGTACTCTTTTAACATTACTGTACTTTATTTACTGACTGCTTCACCAGTGAGTTACGATTGGCTTTATCTTTTCAAAAAGAACTCCGCTTTATTGGAAGTCTATTCATGTCCACAATAACAGTTTATTTATCTAGGCTCCTTATCCTCTTATGAGAAACAAGGACACTTTTTTTCCATTCGTATGAATAAGTCTTGAGCTAACAGTGATCTTCCTATCGGCATGATACTGTAGAGGAACAGGACAAACTCTCTTGTAAACTAGGCATAGAGATCCCAAACCAGAGAGCCCCAGAGTTGGAAGCAGACTCTGGCAATGCTCAAATCACATCATTCAGCCCTGGACTGTAATTAAAAGTAACTTGAACAGCAGCAGGAGGATAATGTGGCCCCTGCAATCTCTGCAGGCGTTCACTGACCTAGTGTGGACCTTCCCAGAGAGAAGAGCAGAGCCGAACCTAACAGAGATTTCATCGCATTAGCATTCACTGAGCCTGGGGCTGACACACTTAACAGAATGTACTTACCAAATAGTTCATCATCGACTTCAGTTCAGTGATATAACAAAAAGGATTCCAGCTCCTCAGTACCTGAAAATAAAGTTCCTCTACGAGCAGCTTCCCCGTACTCTGTCTAAGTTTAATACATCATCCAGTAGTGTGACTTCACTTGTGTGGTATGAGGTACTGAACTGCCTTGCAACCACAGTGACTGAAGCTGATGCTTGTTGAGTAACCTTATACTTTCCGAAGGATTCAGACAGACTCTCAACGGCTCTGACTGCAACAGGATTGGTCCCAGTCAGCTTTTTGTATGTAAATGAGTTTCCACTTGAAATGCCATTGTGAGAGAGGCTTGCCACTGAATGGCGCTGTGTAGAATCAACACACTTTACAAAGGCAAAGAGATACTCTTTTAATATTTGATTTGCTATATCAAATGCAAGGATTATTATTATTATTAATAAATAGTCTCGATTCCTATTTGTTGACCCAGACACTGAATTGAAAGAAATCGCTTGGGCAATTCTGAGATATTTCTTAACTCAGAAAGTGATTTCTTATTTAAGGTTATCACTCACATCGCTTCACATCCAGGGAACCCTTCCTCCCCCCCACCCACCCCACTCCCCTCCCGCTCTGAAAATAAATCGTGCCAGAGAGGAGTTCCCACAAGTTGGCATGACAGGATTCTGGATTTCTTAATTAACTGGAAAATTGGTGCTATTATCCATTTATTTCACTTTGAATTTAAATATTTGAAGAAATAAAATCTAAAGATATATTAGCAATGTTTCAGGCACTACATCCTTCCCGTGTGGTGTGATCGTAAACACAGACTGATTATCACAATGTGATTTTCTTGCATGTAACAGAGAATAGCTCCCCCTTTTCCCTGGTTCGGCCGGTCCTTGTGAAACACTCCGAGGCATTACCCTGCATAAAGAGCGCTATATAAATGTAAGAACATAACAGAACTTCCTACTTCTACTCTCCTGAAGGCAGCGACTCATGCTGGGATAGAAACATAAAAACAGGAGTAGGCCATTCAGCCCCTCGAGCCTGTTCCACCATTCTATAAGATCAGGCTGACCTGTACCTCAAGTCCAATTACCCGCCCTTGCCCCGAATCCCATAATACCCTGACCTAACAATACCTATCCACCTCAGTCTTGAAGATGTGAATGGATCCATCATCCACAGCCTTTGGGTATAATTCTAAGATGCCCTCACACCTCAGTTTGGAGCCAGTCTGAGCCCTCCTGTGCACATCCTCAGAATCTAATGTTAATGATAGGCGTTGTCTCCTGACTATAGCGATATACCAATAGCAAAACAACCGTTCACACTGCCCCGCGTTGTCAAATCTTCATGTGATACACACAGTGAATTGACAGTCTCCTGACTATGCAAAGCTACATGCCAAATGGTAATAAGACTGGGCTTTCAGACTGAAGACCATCCCTTGGGCTGCTACAGCTCACCAGGTCGCTTTCCCCAGTCCCACACTCCACTCATCCAATTAATGTTTAAAAATGATCTGACAGATTTGATGGACTAGAACCTGGGAGCACTACCTGAATATTGGTGACAAGTTCCAAGATGAAATAAATAAGCAAAACAATAAGCAAATAATAATAATCCTTACATTTGATATAATGCCTTTGAAACATCTCGAAGCACCTCACAGGATTTTATTGTAAAGTGTGATCAGCAATGAACTGTGTGACCAATATAATTTTGGTGGGGATTGTTACCCAGGACCTCAGGAGAAACTCGCTTCGCTTTTCGAATAGTGCCACAGGATCTTTGGCGTCAACCTGAATAAGAAAATGGGACCTGAGTTTTAACATCTCATCCGAAGGGCGACACCTCCAACAGCTCAGCACACCCCCAGTACTCGATTGGAATGTCAGCTTCGACAATACGAGTTCCAAGTCCTGATTTGGGGGCTTGAACCCACAACTTTCTGAATCAGAGGCGAGAGTGCTACCAACTGAGCCAGGCTGACACACTTAGTGCTTCATGAAAGTGTTATTTTTATTACACATATAACTTCACATTGTCACTGTTACATCTTATTTAGATTGCCTTTCATATTGTTTGTAGATGACCCGCTGTTATATTTGCTGGGAATTTAATTTAAAACCACAAAAATTTGTAATTCTTGTAAAATGGGAGCAGTAAAGAAGTTTTTTTCCAGACCCACCCAAGTATTGTAACCCACCCTACCACCTACCGTGCTAATGGTAAGGTGGGTTATAATACTAGGGTGGGTCTTGAATGAAACCTCTTCATCCAAAGCTCTCTTGTGATCTTGTGAAATGGCAAAGCCTTTACACTCCTCTGTTATTCTGATAACACCTAGACAACATCTCAAGCCACCTGGAACTGCGGCTCTCATGGAATATGACCGGCTATTGACTAAGCAAATCCCCAGAAAGGAAAAGCACCATTTAATCTTTTCTCTCATTCCTTACCTTTTCGTCGACATCTGTGTAGTACTGATCAGTGAATGTTTAAAAATGGTGTCTTCCTTAATTTACAAATGTATCTGATAAAGGGAATTAACCAAACCAGGGGGAAAAAGGACAAATGAAATCTCCAATTAAATTAAGCACTCAAATTATATTTGAGATAATAATAAAATAATAGTTACATTTGATATAGCAACTTTCACTTTGGGAGGACGTCTAAAAGCGCTTCACAGGATTTACCGTATAGTTACTGTGTATTTTGTAGACAAAATCATACGCAAAAGATAATTCAATGACACCATGAAAGATTGCATGAGAAGCAAGCTCAGTCAGTGTTACAATAGCTGTGAAGGGGATGGTTAGAGGCACCACAAACCCTTTTCGAGTTCTATAATTTTAATTTTAGCTTCTAAAGTGTGGTGCGGCCCCTTTGCGGAGGTGTAGGCAAAGTGTGTAACCACGGAATTAATTAACAGTTTAGCAACAGCTTGGTTTGTTACCAGTAGCATGGACCTCAGCAAGACAGTGACCCAACACACCATCGCTAGGCTTGTCAGCGGAGCAGGTTATGGAATGACCTAGTGGCGTGATCCGTCTACGAAGAAGCTGCTACGTGATTAATCTCTTGGCAAACAGGCACTGTTGAGAGGTTTTATGTGCAAGCCAAATATTCCAGATGGCACTGTCCTTTTAAACTCACTGTGGTATTTTGTGGAGTTACTATGGATGCTTCATTGTGCCCATTGCACAGGTTAAAGAGCGAGAGAGAGGCCTGAAATGGGCGGGGCAATTGTATTCACCGAGACCACAATTTATTTTTGTAAAGCTAAGTGGGTCCGAGGAATTTGCTGTTCATTTATTTAATCTTCCACCTAAGTATTCGACTGAGAACGAATCTATCTAAAGAACCAGAATTTTACCTAAGCAATTTTGTATGGTATCCATTAAGTCAGTTGTTAGGAGTGCTAAAGCTTTTTCCTGTGGAGTCGAGAGGAGGTGTGGTATCTCAGTGGGTTACCCTGGGAAAATGCCCTATTTTAAACACAGCCTCCTTTTCCCTGGTAACATTCCTCCACCGTCGACAGGAAAATAAGGAGGAAACATGGCATTTAATTTGCACTCAACAGTAATTACATTCCAGAAGTGCAGTTTGAAGATCACAACATTGCAAGATGTGGAGCCCATAGCAAAAAAAATCCTAAGACAAAAAATCAGTCCAAATTCTACAATTTCATTTCTGCATAAGAAGCATCAACCATTTTAAGTCTTCATACTGCTTCCCCTTGATAATAATAATAATAATCCTTGTATTTGATATAGCGCCTTAACACATCGTCGAGACATCTCAACGCACTTCAGAGAATATACTACAATGTGAGTTTGACTGTATATTTTGTGGGCGAAACACCGCAGCCAATTGTGCATACCAGTGTCCCACGAAGCCATGGATTGAGTGACCAATTTTTTTTAAGGAATTATTGCCCCCGGAAAAGCGATCTGCCAATCAACCAATGGGCGGGGCAATTGTATTCACTGAGACCACAAGTTCCCACTTACTGCTAGGTAAACAGAGGCGTGTGGAGTAAGGAAACTTGCTTAGCGTTTCACCCTGCTGGGAATCGAACCCGGGTCTCTCGGCACGGGGACAGAGCATCAGTGCACCAGCGCTCTGTTATCCGGCCGAAATCATCTTATTTCCCTTTTAACAAAGTTTTCATCTTATTTATCGTTCGCCATTTCCCACTCTCCAAACCATTTCCCCATGGCTCTTTTCCTGATAGTCGCAGACATTTGCTGGAGTATGGTTCCACAGGCATCAGTAGCCCCCAGTACATTGGGACGCTGCTGTGCACAATTGACTGCCGCGTTTCGCCCATAAGATATACTGTCAATTCACTTTACGGTATATTCTGTGAAACACTTTGAGAGTCTTGAAGACTGACAAGGCGATGTATCAAATGCAAGAATTATTATCACCCAAGGGGGTCAATCCTCACTTGGGAGAATGGACAGTGAACATTCAGAATTTATTTGACCGTGATTTGACCTGTCATGCTGTCCAGTACACACAGATCCCAGCAGTGGTTGCTGAATAGCAAACAAGAGTGGTAAACTTGGCTGGTCTTATTACCCTTTCCTGGCCCAGTTCTACTAAAGTCAACCATAGCTCACTTTCCCCCCACCCCCCACCCCCACCAAGTGCTAGGATCATCTAACCAAGTACAGAGCGCTCTTCAAACCTGCAGCTTTTTACTCTGGGTAGCTTAGTTCCTCACCAGGCAGTTTCTTTAAGCACATTAGGGTGAAGCTCCACATATGCCTTGTTTTAAAGTTAAGCCATTCTTCTTGCTCATGACTTCCCAGATCTGCTGCACAATAAGAGTTCAAGCCCGTGCCTCCATTCTGTGTCCTTTAACAATAGGCTGACAGTTAGTTGATAACCTTTCGCCCATCACCAGTACCTCCTTGGTATGTTTTCTTTGGACTGCGCAGCAATTAGTGAACATTCACTGAGACCCATTGGGAAACAAAGAAAACAAATGGCAACAGCAGGTCTGCAAGTGAAATTGACAGCGTGTTTGCTGCAAGTTCCTCAACATAAAGGCTGAATATGTTTACCCTCCAAAGGTGCTATTAAAACAGGAAAATGTATTAATTTCACAACAAACGAGTTGAGGGGGAGGGAGAAAGGATGCGGGGGGGGGAGCAAAAGCAAAGCCCTCATC